TACCCACTACTGACGCTTACTTGTGGAACAAGCATATTGCAAGTCCATATGTGCGCAAAGACAAAGGGGTAATGGTAATGTATTGTATGTGATATGTGAGATTTACCCACTACTGACTACACTAGTATTGATATAAAGAAAAAAAACCGATAGATTGTATGTCTTACTTGTGGAACAAGCATATTGCATATGTGCGCAAGGACAAAGGGGTAATGAAAACTGAGTACGCTAGTGTCGTTATAAAGAAAAAGAAAGTAGATTGTCTTACTTGTGGAATACTGTTCTGCACTTGGCGCACTGTACAGCATGTGGATCGAAGGCAAAGATGATTTCATTCACTTTGCATGTCTCACAGACAAAGCCCTTGGCTCGACACAGCTGTTGATTCATAAAATACCACTATTACAACTATTATACATGCCTACCTCGAGAGAAAAGCTGAGTATTCGAGTATTGCAAAAGCCTTCTTCCCAAAAAAAACACTCATGTTCCAGAGAGACTTTCGCTGTCAAGTCGTAAATGTTAGTACTTAGGTCGAAAGTATTGGAGCGCAAGGACTCTCTGCTATTCAGAGTACCTACCCAACACCTAATCGATCTTAAAAATGGTGCAAGATGCGCTAGTAACCTACGACAAAACTCATTTCAAGGGCTACAGTCGGTTCACATTATTTTACATGATCAGGTAGCCTGCGTAGAGGCCCCCGAATAATCGTGGTGTTGGGATTCGGAAGGGGGCTGGAAATGGGGGATTACGAAACTATTAGAAGAGGGTTTTAAAAACTCATACGAAATCACTAGATAACTAAGCCACACTTGAAATAAAAGGCCAACATTTTTAAACACGAGGAATATTATGTTATGTCAGGAAATAGATATTTTTTACAAAAAAAAAAAAAAAAAACTAACATTTTTTTTACAAAGAAAATCCACAAATGGATGAGCTCACCTCACAGTCTGATTTAATGTGCGTCAAGAATAATGAATGCACTCTTGTGACAAAAGGAAGCATGGATCCATTCTCTACTTCTAAGATATCTTGTAACGAGTAGACATTGGAATTATCGACAAAATGTTGGTGATCTTGAAGCTGGAAGAACAACGATGGCTATATTACTTAAGGGTGCTAGAAGGTGTGCTAAACGGGCACTGATGATTGCCTTACAAATTGGACTTCACAGCATTTCTTCTGTTGTCTCAATAGTGTGAGGGCCTTTGTAAACATTGAAACATTCGATTGGTGTGAGTTCTCGGACGCACTTAGAATTTGAAAGCTTAAACAAATGATAAACAATTTCTGCACTAGCGTGCCATTCGCGAAAGAATTATGGATGGAGAAAGGGATGGGAAGAAAGATTTCAATAAAATCGAAGATTTAAGTAAACAACATACGATTTCTGCGCGATTCACGCAACTCCCAAAGGAGGAGTTGATGGAAGGAAAGAATGGAAGGAAAGAATGAGAAAGGAATAAAGGGTGTATGGATGATAGGTAAATGAAGAAAAAATGGAATAAATATTAGATGGGAAAAGAAAAAACAACATTGAATGTGAAGTGATTTACTCACATGTAACAGTAATTTGCTTTCAAGCGCCATTCGACAACTCATGAAGTATTTCTTCATGATGAGGATTTCTTCCCTCAGTCTCTGATGGATATAAATAATAATAATAGTACTTAATAGAGCCATTGACTTTTTTCCTTGTAAAGTATACACCTATTTCAAAAAAAACGTCATTGCCAAAAGCGGTAGGCTATAGGTCATTCTGATAAGGAAAGGGTTTCGTCGACTACAAACAACATTGAATCGGTCAAAACTGAGGTCCATGTTCTTGACAAGAATAAGTAGTAGTAAAACAAGTCATTTGAGCTATTCTTGGATCTTGCAATGGCCTTTCTCCTATTGCTTATCGCCTATCGCCTGTTGCCTTACGCCTTTGGCGTTGACAACGTTTTTTGGTGTATATCATACACTTAAAATGTCCGAATGAGTTAACTATAACACACAGTCTTTCCCATGATTTCAGGGTTTTCCTATAGCGCATTAGCAAGGCGTCCCTCTACATGTAAAATATTGTTATTGTATCATTGACTAACCTTTATCTCTCTCAACTCCCCTACGAACTTAAATAAAGCAGGATTAAGTTGTTCAAGGTCGAGTAATGGCTTCTTGATCATTAAATCCAAGAATTGCTTGGTCTGTCGAGAGACCTGTAAGATCATGCAAACAATGTTAGGAACAACTAAATACTCAAGTACTTAGAAATTTAAGATGTGCATATACAAACGTCTTTCGCTTTTGTAACATTCCGTTATGTTTCTTTCGCTATCTATGTAGGTTTATTTTATCGGGGGGGGGGGGTGGGGGCACCTTTGATTATGTTTTCGTTGTTGTTTGATGTTAATGATGATGTTGTCACTGTTTTTGTTGCTGTTAGTGACGATAATCATAATGTTTTGTTGTTACCACCTCTGTCTCTTGCTCATAATACAACGTGGTTCACCGCATCAAGGACATCATCGATAGTTATACCTTGTAAAGAGAAAAGTCCCAGTTATGTATCACTCTAGCAGGTATGATGACTTGATCATTCCAGTGACAGTCTTCACAGAAGAACTGTCCACTGTAGTCACACAGACGGGCTTCACTGTGTTCGCCTTCTGCAAGAAAAGAAAATAAGGATGAATATGATGGTGATGATGATATGAGGATGACACGATTAACATGATGGTCAGACGATGATGATCATCATAATAATGGTGATGATGATATGAGGATGACATGA